ACCCAAAAGGTATATTTTTCCCTTAATGATTTTATGCTTCCATTATAATTTAGAGAACACTTTTATTTTAGCATTAACACTCCGTTTATTCCTAATTGAATAAACAAATTATAATTTTGATTTTAGCCTTTTAGCCTTTTTTACGACAATTTAATAAAATACATTATATATATAGATTACATAGGAATATGTATAGAAATGTAAAATATATTATAAGAAAGATACAGGTATTCACTTATCAGTTATCACTAATATAATTTCTCAACAAATCCAATAAAATAAAAAAAATATTTTGTTATAACCTCTAGCAACGGCGCCCCTAGCGAAGACGGTCAGTCAACTGTCAGCCTATGATATTAATAAGAATATATGATGATATTATTGTGAATAAAGTTATTTATTTACCAATTTACATGGAAAATTGTTTTAAATTGTCAATCCTTAGCTATAAAAGTTGAACATTTTATACATTTTAACTACGAAATCATTTTAGTGATAATAAACAAGTATATGAATTGATAAAATAAACATATTATGGTGTAAATTGCAAGTATCTACAGTTACCTATTGGCTATTCGTTTTTAAATTACAGCAAGATAAGAAAATCGTAACATGAGAAATCGATATGAATATCGGATCTAAGTGGATGAACATAATATACACGAGCCTTATAGTTATTACTTATCAGGTACTAAGTTATTTTAATAAATAACAAATATAGTATATATCAAGATGTATGGAAATTACTGTCGTTGTATATGACATTGTCTATATATTTATACGATAATAGATATATCAACCATCAAAAATAATATTAATCTTTATCATTTTTGATATGGGTGATTTTACTCCAATATTACTAAAAAAAACATTTTAAAAAATGATTTTGCATGAATGCCATAATATGGGAAAACAAATAGTGAGCTGACATCCTCTTAAATTATAGTCGATTACAAAATATAGGTTAATATAAAATTATATTTATAGTTTATATTATAATTATTATAAATATAATTAGAATAATTATTATTGTACAATATGAAATTGCGGGATCTAAGTAGCTTACTATTTTTTTTTATTCTTTAAGAAGATAATATGGGCCCCACTGAACATGTTCGTGTGGGGACTAGGGCCCATGAGTTCACAATTTGAAATATAAATACATTAAATAGTTCACATAAATTAAATAATTACAATTTGTAACATACCTAATACATTTCTCACATAACTTTACTATATAATATTATTATTAATAAGTAAATATATATTTTCTTCTCTTTGTTTATATAATATAGAATTAGGTATGTAAAAAATTGTGTAGTTAAATAATACAATATAATATGGTAATATAAAACTAAAATTAACAATAATTACTAAGTCGTTAAGTCGTACATTTAATATGATAAATAATGCAGTAATCCGTAATCCTATAAGTTTCTTATGAGTCTGTCAATATTTTGTTCTTGTAATAGGCAATAGCCAAATTGCTGTGTTTAATTTCTAATGGTAGTATATTATCAATTTTTGGACCAATATATAAATACTTATATGGATTGTGTTAATTTTTTGTGCTATTTAATATACTATTAAAACTTGATCCAATTCCCTTGGTCTTTTAGAAATATTATCATTTATCAGTTATTACATCTTATTAACTTTCATGTCTCTATATATCATGAACAGCCAGCATAGTTATTTGCGAGTGTGTGAAAGCGATAACATTGATAACAACCTACAGCCACCAGTTTAATATGCCGTATTTTGGGAATGGGAAGGACGACAATACAGTCAGAGTTATCGCTGACCACGTTAAAGCATAATAATTATACAATTTAAAATAATCTGCCACAAACATATTAAAATATCTAATTAATATTTCAGGTATATTAAAATTTAAACTGTATTTTATTTATTTGATAATAAATTTCATTATTTTTTTTCTGGTCCTGACAATATTGTATTATTGTAAGTCTGAATTTGCATTATCGATAGGTAACAGCGTTTCCCAAATCATGGGTCGTGAAATTTTTTTGATGGGTCTCGACTCGCTAGTCACGGTTACGATTAAGTTTATTTCAGTATTTTTGTATTTTTTTTATAATTTATTTTATTTATTTATTTATTATGTATTATGTATCGAGTATTGTATTTTATAAAAATGCAATAATAAAATTAATAATAATAAAAATATTATTTATTTAAGGCATACTTGATTTTTTTTTTCAGCAGGGGTCGCGTACCCAATAAATATTAAATTGATGGGTGGCCATTGCAAAAAGTTTGGGAAACACTGACCTATACCTTCACTTTGATCAAAATGTCAACAGTAAAAAAAAGACTGAAAGAGTTGAATTTGTCGAATAAATGGAAAGTAAAATATCATTAAAATTATCAGAATCTCCTATAACACATTTTCCACTTATGGAACTACGACGTTTTATAAAACAGCAGAAAAAATACTAAAAACTAATATAATAATTCATTTTGCACCTACGTTTAATGAAATGGTTTGTTTATACAATTTAAAAAAATGCATGTACCTATACTAAATACTAATTATAGTGTGCTACTGTGCTAAAGAATACTGTACTTTTCAAAATAAACGGGGAAAAAAAATTAGGAAACATGGGGATTTTTACACATAATAGATTTTGTCTTTTTGTCTTATAGTTGAACATAGGCGCAATTAGGGGGAGCTGGGGGGTCAGTCCTCTAGATTTTTATCATATTTTAGTTTTAAATATCAAAAATTGGGGTTTTTGCTGCTGATACAATTCTAGCCCCCCACAAAAATGTCCCTAGATGATCCTATAAGAGTAGACATGAATTTTCATTGATCAGTTAATAGAAGAATATAATTATTTATTGGGATTAAACATTTTTTTTTTTAGTTTATTTTCTTTTGATAAAATGTATGCTCTGTCAAATAGCTTGAAACTTGAATACAAGATATTGCTCTTAAGCTGTTCTTACAATAACCAAAAAATCTTCAAAATACAGTATAATATGTTCTATTTTTTATATACACATTTCAAGTTCAAATTTTTACGAAATTGGATACCTACTTAAACGAAAATATTATAGTAATGTTGTTATTTTGTTGAAATTCAAATAATATTATTAACATATTATTTAAATTTTTTGTCATTACATATAATATTATTTACTATACACAATGAAAATCATATCACAATTTTTTAAATATTTTGATTGATTTTAAGCCATTAAAACTATACGAACCTATTCACAACGTTGTTTAGTTATTACTTATTAGGTACGTCGGTATATTTAGTATTTACAGTGGCGCTAACCTTTTTTAAATCACCGGAGTAAACTGTTTTTTTGGGTACATACCTTGTTACCACCCAACTTAAAATATGAAGAATTTTTTTTAAAATAATAATAAATTAAATACAGGGGCGATCCTTAGGTTTAATTTTAGGTGGGTTTGGAATGAATTTTTCCGATTTCCAAGAACATATATCTAAGATTTTAAAATTGAATGCAAGATTCCTTTCATAGTTTGTAAACTTTCAACAAAATTAGACTAGATTTCTTATGGAACGGTTTTCTTTTTTATTTGTTATTCAAAAATGAATGACTGCAGATACTTGAAATTTACACCAAATGTTTATTTTATAATTTTCTATACTTGATAATATTTTGTCAAGGTTTGAGCTGTTTACAGTAATTATAAATTTTACAGTTATTGTTTTAGTGTTTTTCTATTATTGTCTATCACATTTTATTCGTTGGGTCTTAAAGCTTGAAAATTTAATATGAGGGTCCTAACACATTGTTACACATTCTTTAAATATTAAAAATACTTAGGCATGGTTTTTTTTAAGCATTTATAGTTTGATTGAAAATTTGCAAAATTATTTTTCTGTTAAAAATGTTTATACTGTGATTTGCAGATTGAATTTAGTTAATTAGTAGGTATAAAGTAATTAAATAGCAATTATACTGTATGTCTATTCTCTGTAATTCTTTATACCTACTATATTTAGTATTTTCACAATATTATATAATACCTACCTATAAGCTATAACATGTCAAGCAGTCATCCATCCAACTAACTACCCACCCACACACCACCTAAAAAAGTTCTAGGGTATTTACCCCATTATAGTCATGCGTATTCGTCGCCACTGAGTATTGACTTATGAGTTACCT